GACGCTTTAAGGACCAAATGAAGACAGAGGTTCTCCTGCAGGAGGAGCTTTAAGGACCAAATGAAGACAGAGGTTCTCCTGCAGGAGCTCTCACCTTAGACTCTTTGTGCGTGGACATCCGGAGGAAGGTCAAGAACACGGCTCGGTGGACGGCGCGCTGGACGGCGCCCGCGGCGGGCGAGGCGGGCAGCGGGTTGAGGTCGAGGCCGCGCGGGGCGTGACGCAGGTACGAGTCCAGGCACGTCTGCAGGGACTCATCAAACACCACCTGATGGAGCAGAGCAGACGTGAAGGAGCGCTACACCCCCTCCCCCCCACCCCCCAACTGGCAGCCTCTACCTGACACCAGAACCTGTCGTGGGGCAGCGCCAGCAGCCACTCCAGATCCTCCACGATGAACCTGGCCCGTTCCAAGAACTCCTCCACCTCAGCAGGAGAGCCTCCTTCTGGAGGAGGTCTGTAGGGCACGAAGCAGCGCTCCTCCTTCCTGTCTGGGTGCTGCACAACAAAACCTGGTCTCAGTCTCTGAAACCGCAGGTTTGAGTCCACTTCCATAAAAACGGACTCACCAGCGCCGGCAGCGTGCGCTCCGCCCCCTGAGCGCCCCGCTCCGTCACCTCCTGCTCATCCAGGGGAACTCCAGCGCAGGCCATCACTTCCAAACGTTCCTGTGATGTGAAGAATGTGGACAGATGATCAGCTCATATTGATTATTGATCAGAGCCTGATGAGAAGATACAGGAGCAGCCCACGTCCGGACACCTTCAGCTTGTATGAAGCTAAACACCACCTGCATGCAGCTGCTGCCTGTTGGGCCACAGCTGGAAACATCTGCAGGGGTCTCCAAACAGACTGTTTTCAGGGCCACAGAACCGGGTCGGCCCACGAGTTCATGACCCAGTTTAATGTCAGTAAATGACGGAAAGTTCTGCCAGAGGAGCCCAGACCCATCAGGGTCCTGGTAGGCAGTTGTGCTGACTTTGGACTTGATAAAGCCCAGCGGACCAGTATGGGACCTGGCTCTCCAAATCATCCAAAACTGTGGAGACTTCCTTCTGGACCGGAAGCAGCTTGGACCGTGTGCCCCCTGTCCTGAAACCACTGAGCAACAGTCCCGTCGGTGTCTCCTCAGCCCAGGTGAGACGTCTCTGAATGGGACAGTCCAGGTCCTGGTGGCTCTGGGTCCAGCCAGTCCACCACAGAACCAAACAGGACCTAACCTGGCGCTGTTTGATGATCATGTGACTGATCATGTGACCGACAGAGAAACGTCAACTTGAATGTAGTTCATAAAACTAGCATGCAGCTAGCTCAGCCGAGGAGCTAGCATGAGCGCAACTTCCGGTTCAGTTCGTGCACCAGGCCCACATCACAGGTGTTGTCAGGTAAGGAACGCACGAAGCTAACGAACCGGGACTTTTCACCGGACCGTTCAGAACCGGACGGAAGAAACGAGTTCAAACGAGCCGCTCACCTCGAAGCGCCGCGCAGTGACTCCTTCATCCATGAAGTTTACACAGCAGCTGCTCGCAGTTTCACTTCCGCCAAACGTCCGCTTCTCACAGCGCAGGGCAGGAAGTGACGTCAGAAGATCAACGCGCGCGTTGCTTATGTTGCCATCTGCTGGAGTGGAGAGGAACTGCAGCGAGACTGGAGTTTTTAGTACATTTACACATTAGACCCAACAAGACGAGTTTCACTGTAACATGTAAATATAACCAGTGAGAACTGGTAAAAAATTCTAACAAGGTTCAGTCAGGTCCTGGTCCAGGTTCAGACGGGTCCTGGTCCAGGTTCAGTTTCTTTGTGTTGAAACGTTTCGTCTTTCATCCAAAAGACTTCTTCAGACCGAGGAGCTGCAAAAAAACGTTTCAACAAAATGAAACTGTCCAGAGGACCTGACTGAACGTTGTTGGGTATCTTGACATGGTTTTCTCCTACTCCGCTCCTGTTTCCTGGAATATCTTACAAAAGATTTGAAGCTCTCGACCTTTGACCTCTCTAAGTGACTTTAAGAATCTGTTGGACTCCTGGCAGGGACCAATGCAGACATGTTCCTGTTTTTAGTTTCTACATTCACCTTAGAATCTAGCTGTTTTTTTTTTTGTTTTGTTTTGTTTTTTGTTTTGTTACCTTTTCCTTTTAGCCATCCTATTTGTAAAAAAAAAAAAAAAAAAACCCTGTAGTATGACTTTTTATAACTGTTTATTGTTGTTGCTGTTGTCCATTGTTGTCATCTCTCTTTGTTAAATCAGGTCTCTCTTGTGAATGAGTCCTCGAGGCTCAATGGGATTTACCTGTAGAAATAAAGGTTGATTGATTTTGTCTTTCCTCCTGTAGAAAGTACACCTGAACTACAGAAACCACACCTGAACTACAGAAACCACACCTGGACTAGAGAAACCACACCTGAACTACAGAAAGTACACCTGGACTAGAGACAGTACACCTGGACTAGAGAAAGTACACCTGGACTACAGAAACCACACCTGGACTACAGAAAGTACACCTGGACTAGAGACAGTACACCTGGACTAGAGAAAGTACACCTGGACTACAGAAAGTACACCTGGACTACAGAAACCACACCTGGACTAGAGAAACCACACCTCGACTAGAGAAACCACACCTGGACTATAGAAACCACACCTGGACTACAGAAA